TATGCGTGCTCGAATCCCACCACCGTTCCTTAGCTTTTCACCTTTTCTATGTATGGCCGCTTCCTCTTTCCAAAAATTGGTTTATGTTCTTATCTATGTGCTCAATAAACGGAAGTAAAAAAGATAAAGGGCAGTGACTAATTTACTCGTTGAGTAGTAAACCACGGAATCTTTGTGCACCTGGTGAGTATGCATGCTCCAAAAATTATCAATGCGTAAGCATAAATAGTTGGAGCAATTGTGAGGGGACAGGCGCTCCTATACATTTCTCTTGCACTGTAAAAATGTCTGAAGAAAAAATGAGGCTTCCATTTGATGGACACAGATTCATGAGACAAATTAGCAGAAAACGGATACTGATAGCCCACGTGTCAGGAGAAATCACTACAAGCATGACCGCCGATTTACCACAGTATGCTTGAATAGACTTGAATAGCACACATTTTACCATAGTACTGCTTTTTTTAGCTTGGCAGGATTGCTTTCACACTGTTAAGCAGATAATACTATGATACTAATTTACGATTGTAGTTTAGAGGACTACCAGTTACTTGTGAGTAGTGGTGTGAGACAATTGATATTTATTGACTAATTAAAATTGATCAGACTTCGGACTTCACCTTTATGTACATTCCTCAGCTCTTCCAGTTAGCCATACACTAGGAAGTACTGGACTCGAGTTTCGCTCTTATTAGAGCTCATCAGTAAAGCATATTCATCTTCCCGGCCGGGATTTGAACTCCGGACCCATCGCATGGAAGGCGTGTGTTACCACTGTGTCAACCAGCCTATCCCAGGGATGAATCGAATTGTCAATTCATGTTTGTTCAGGTGACGTCTCCAGAGCTAGCCAGTCTATCTATCTCTGGAGATTACAATCGAACAAACGTGAATTTAAAACGGTACATATTATTATTGTCATATTCCTTGAAAACAAAAGTACTTTCACGAGCTGAACGACATGTTCTGTTCACTTCATCTCGATAACCCGGTACTATAGAGGAATAAAGATAGCTGAAACGGGGACATGAGTACGGAACAATCTGGAACCGGGTTACCGCCACATACTCGATGGGGGATTATTGTATATCAATTATTTTTCAATTTCACTTAGACTTACTTACATCAAACTACAAGAGGTTTAATTCCCACCCACTCCCCCACCCCGGATACCTCGAATATCGGAAACCAGACAACGACCGTCACAATGATTTTACCATAACTTGTTTAGAACCACCATCCAGAACGTGAAAATATTAGTCACCGAAGCGAACTCAGTGACTGACTGAGACTGGTGGCGACGAAAAATGAAGAGAGAAAAACAGTGTACTAGTAGTAGTAGCAGCAATCATTCACTCACCATCCTCCAGCATTTCGAGGGCTTTATTGGAATCAGACAGCTCCGGAGGGAATTGAGCAATCGCTCTTCGGGTTGCGGCATCAGCCGAAGCAGCCGAATGTTGAAGAGTTTCCAACAATTCAATCAATTCGGAGGTCTACGTGAAACAAAGAGGGCGCGTTGAAAATGAACGCTGGAATGATTGAAATACAATTCAGCCGAGCACAGAACAAATTCACAACATGAAGTAAATATGACCATACAAAACGGATACCACATCTATTCACACAGGCAGTTATCCTGTTTTTGCGGAGTGGCATACATCCTTTACTTCAGAGTCTGAACTGAGTACGCCTTGTGATTATCATTGGAACCTTTACCGACTTGATACAGCGTCTGACATATATATATATATATAT